GTTCTCCACATCCATTGCTGCCTTCCACTCCTTATAAGGCCCCGAGAGAGCTTCCTCTTTTGTGCGAGGAGTCGGAATGGTCGGGTTCTCGGTGAAGTTGAGGGAAGGGCAGTCAGTAATGTGCGGGAAGATGTGAGAGAGAAGTTGGCAGACCACGTGAAGGTCAAACAGCTCTTCATGCCTGTCCTCCAGAAGTGCACGGGGGGGAATACGGATGGAGGGGACATCACACCCGGCAGGAGGAGGCGGGGTGACCGAACACCGGATGGAGAAGGCGGCTGGTCCCAAGGCAAGAGGCGGAGCCGGTCCCTTGGAACGAGTGCGACTAGAGACCGGAGACAAAGGCGGCTGCGGTGCGACCGGAGGGACTGGGCGCCTCCGATAGGAGACTGGTGAGCCGGGCTCGACGCGCGGGGAAGGCGGAGCAGGAGGAGGTGCCGCTGCAGAGGATACTGGGGAAGCCGGGTGAGACACGCCGGACGGAGAAGGCCCCGGAGAAGGGGCAGCGGCCGGAGGTGGGGCATTGAAGTCTGCCCAAACAAGTGTCGGGGGAGTTGGAGGAGGCTCGCCCGTGGTCGTAGAGTGGAATGGGCGTGTCTCATCGAAGACGACATCACGGCTGCGTATCAGCTGTCTGGTGATTGGGTCGCGGAATAAGTAGTCTGGGGAGTCGGAGTTGTGCCCCAGGTGCATGCAGGTCTGGGTTTTGGGACCAAGCTTGCCACCTTGCTTCCTGCGCGTGTGGCGGCTTAGCAACACATACGCGGTACACCCCCAGACGCGTAGAGAGCGGGCGGAAGGCGTGACCCCAAGCCAGAGAGCGGTAGGTGTGGTGTCGGGCCGGTGGGGATGCAGATAAAGATTGTAGAGGAGTGCCGCATGGAAGAGGGCATATCCCAAGAGTGACCGTGGTGCGTTGGCGTGACTGAGGAGGCAGCGAGCGATCTGAACCAAGGTGTGGTTGCGGCTCTCTGCAATGCCGTTCTGCTGCGGGCTTTCAGGGAGCGTGAAGATTTGCCGAATCCCTTGGGCCGCACAGAAGTTATCGAGTTTGCCATTGCGAAATTCTCCCCCGCCATCAGAATGGAGGCACTTCAGAGGAGTGCCGAACGTGACTTGAGCCTGGCGCACCCACGCCATGATGACATCAGGTACCTCCTGTGCACAGAAACATACCGCGAGTGGTCATCGACTAGTGTAAGAAAGTACCAATGACCGCCTCGGGATGCGACTGGAGCTGGGCCCCAGACATCCATGTGGACTAGGTCCAGCGGAGGAGCTGCGACTTGGTGCAGTCCAGGCAGGTGGGTGCAGGTGAGTCTGTTGGTGGAGGAAGCACCGACGGGAGGCCAAGAAGAAGTTTCTTGGAAGCGATGTCGGCAAGTGTACGGAAGTTGGGGTGACCCAAGCGATGGTGGTAGAGGATGGTTGGGTTGGCAAAGCTGCGATACGAACACGGAGTGGTGCTGGCAGCTTGCGCTTGGGAGAGGGCGGCGAGAGGTGCAGGTGAACGCAGCGTGTAGAGCTTGCTACTGTTGAGTGTGAAGCGTGCTAGGAGCTTGTTGGACTTAGGGTCGAAGAGGTCACAGTGCTCCGAGTGTGCTGGGAAGATCGTGGTGTCGCCTGCCCGTTGGAGCTCGTGTTGGGCCACGAGATTGTGGCGTAGTGTGGGAACACACATGCCTGTGACATTGCCCGAAGAAAAAGCTGGGCACGGAACTGTGGAGGAGCCCTTGGCGTGTGTTGTGAAACTGGAGTGTGCTCCTAGTAGATGGATTGGTGTCTCGTATGGCTTGAAGGAGTGTTCTTCCTTGAGAACCGTGTGAGTGGCCCCACTGTCGAGGGTGAACTCTATTGTGGCTGAGGTGCTTTCTGAGCCGGGACACTGCGAAATTGTCTCACTAATCATGGCAGTGCCAGGGAACAACATGTGGAGGAGCTACAGCAGCCTGCACGGATTCCTGCGCTTCGACTGGATTGACTTTGCGAGGAGCACGATTGACCATCCAGCTTGGTGGCTTCGAGGCGGTCCCATTGACGGCATACCAATCGTCATCCTTTTTCTTTTAGCAGGAGGCAAGGGCGTGGTTGGTGCCGCCACACACCTGGCCGGCACGAGGGCCGCGCTTGATGACATAGGGACACGGGGGGAAGCGGTTGCGCTAGAATGGCACCAAAGCGGCATAGGCTTGAGGCACGGGAGCTCGGATTGCATTGGCCTTGGCTTGAGCGCTGTTGTCCTTTTCGGCAGAAAGGATCGCGGATGAGACCTTGGCAAATGTGAGGTCTGCAGGAGCAAGGCCCAAGAGCATCTTGCGAGCCTCGTCCACCTCCCCCGACGCTTGTATGGGCAGACTTCGATGCACCACTTCCGGCCGCTGCCCCTTCTCCGGGGCCTTCTCCGTCCGGCGTGTCTCACTCGGCCTCCTCGGTATCCTCCGCAGTGGCACCTTGTACTGCTCCGCCTTCCCCACGCGTCGAGCCCGGCTCACCAGTCTCCTACCGAAAGCGCCCAGTCCCTCCGGTCCCACCGCAGCCGCTTTCGTCTCCAGTCTCTAGTCGCACTCGTTCCAAGGGATCGGCTCCGCTTCTCGCCTAGGGACCAGCCGCCTTCTCCATCCGGTGTTCAGTCACCCTGCCTCCTCCTGCCGGGGGTGATGTCCCCTCCATCCGTATTCCCCCCCGTGCACTTCTGGAGGACAGGCATGAGGAGTTGTTTGACCTTCATGCAGTCTGCCAATTTCTCTCTCACATCTTCCCGGACATTACTGACTGCCCTTCCCTCAGCTTCACCGAGAACCCGACCATTCTGACTCCTCGCACAAATGAGGAAGCTCTTTCGGGGCCTTATACGAAGGAGTGGAAGGCAGCAATGGATGTGGAGAACGAGGCGTTCATTCGCAACAACAGCTTTGACGATGTCGTTCCCCCTTCCGGTGTCAACATCGTCGGCGGAAAATGGATCTTCCGAGTCAAACAACTCCCAGGCGAAGCTCTACTGTTCAAGGCACGATACACGGCGAAATGTTTCACCCAGAAGGAGTATCTCGACTTCTTCAAAACATTCTCGCCCGTGGCCAAGCTCCCGACTGTGCGCGCTCTTCTTGATATAGCCGCTCGCGGCAACTTCGAGATCAAGTCCATGGACGCCTCCTCCGCTTTTCACCAAGGCCAGCTCAAGGAGGATGTTCACATAGAATGCCCATCAGGGTTTCCTGGCACTTATCCTGCAATACAGTGTGGAAGCTGAATCGCTCAGTGTATGGCCTTAAGCAGGCTCCTCGTGAGTGGCACAACAAGGTGAAGGAAGTCCTCCTTGCACTTGACTTTCATCCCTCCGCCTCAGATTCCAGTCTTTTCGTTCGTCACTCCTCCGAGCCCTTCTACATCCTCGTCTACGTCGACGACTTCATTCCAGCCGCCAGAGATCCAGCCGACATGGCCGCTGTCCAGTCTGCTCTCAGCTCCGCCCTTCTCATGAAGGATCTCAAGAGCTATCTGGGGATGGAGATCACTCGTGACCGCCAGGCTTGCACGATCACCCTCTCCCAGGAGTCCTACATCGACAACCTTCTCAAGCGGTTCGACATGGACTCCAGTAACTCTGTCTCGACTCCTCTCCCACTACAGCATCAGCTTACGGCCCCTCCGGTTCCTTCTCCTGACACCTGCAAGGACCCGTACCTTGAGCTAGTCGGTTCACTCATGTATGCCATGATGTGCACTCTGTTAGAAACAGAAAGGTTTGGTTTATTGATGAAGCAAAGGCATTACATAGGAAGAGAGGGATGAGCTAGGAAGGGAAGGTTGGAAGGGAAAGGGGGGTTAGGACCAATCACAAGGGAGGGAGGATCCTTCCAAATGTGGTTGACCACCAGTTGGAGGTGGTCCAAGTGTGGTGTACCACCAGTGGTTTAGCCAACCCACTTGTGGTGCGCCCACAATTGTGGTCCTTGTGTTTGGGGGCTCCAACCACAATTGGGTTGGATTGACACCCCAACACAGGTGTACACCCAACTAGGGATGTAACCACAATATACACAACTAGCATAGCATGGTATATTCTAACACAACCCTATAGCATGCAAAGCTAGTGTATAGGTAGGGTACAACCCCAGAATCAGGAAGGGGGGCGGGGCCCAAGGCCGAGAAGGCGGAGGAGGGCAGAGTGCGCGGTCTTCGGGAGGGCCTTGGTGAAGATGTCGGCCAAGTTGGCCTCTGCAGCGATCTTGCGGACCACCAAGTGACCTTGCTGGACCAACTCTCGAACGAAGAAGTAGCGGAGTTCAATGTGCTTGGAGCGGCCATGGAAGACAGGGTCCTTTGTGAGATGGATGGTGCTGGCGTTGTCGCACCAGAGGGTGGGACAGCGCTGAGGAGCACCGATCTCAGCAAGGAGGAAGGTGAGCCAGCGAGCCTCCTGAGCAGCCATGGTGCAAGCATAGAGCTCAGCCTCGCAGGATGAGAGGGCGATGGAGGAGGAGCGAGTGGAGCGTCAGCTGATGAGGCCGCTGCCAAGGGTGAAGCCGTAGCCTTGAGAGGAACGGCGATCCGGCTGGGAGTCAGCCCAGGAGGAGTCACTGAAGCCAGAGAGGAGGGGAGGAGAAGAGTCTCCGAGGGTGAGGACATAGTCCTTGGTACCACGGAGGTAGCGGAGGACCCGCTTCGCTGCAGCCCAGTGCTCATCAGTGTGGCGACCGGTACCGACGAATCGAGCAAGAACACTGATGGGGTAGGCAAGGTCGGGGCGGGTGCACATCATAGCGTACATCAGCGAGCCGGCGAGCTCAGCGTACGGATGGTCAGAGGAGGAGGGAGCAGGAGGAGGAGCTGGTGGTCGGTCTGCAGGGGAGTGGTAACCGGCTTGGCCTGCGCCATGTCGAAGCGCTGCAAGACTTGGTCGATGTAGAAGGACTGAGAGAGGGTAATGGTGCGCGATGTGCGGTCCCGGGTGATGGTCATGCCCAGATAGTGCTTGAGCTCACCCAGGTCCTTGCACTTGAGGCGCGCATGCAGGGCGTCCTTCACTTGCTGCATGGCGGCAGCATCGTCAGCGAACAGGATCATGTCGTCGACATACACCAGGATGAAGAAGCGGGTGGGAGAGGAGCGAAGGAAAAGGCTGGCATCAGACTGAGAGGCATGGAACCCCAAGGACTGCAGAGTGGCGGCCAGCTTGTTGTGCCACTCGCGAGGAGCCTGCTTGAGGCCATAAACCGGGCGGCGCAGCTCCCAGACTGTGTTGGCAGGGAAGGCTGCATGAAAGCCTGGAGGCCGCCGCAAGAGGACCCGCTCCTGGAGCTCGCCTTGCAGGAAGGCGTTGGAGACATCCATGGAGGCAATCTCCATGCCAATGCGAACAGCATAGTCGAGGATGGCACGGAGAGTTGGGAGCTTGGCAGTGGGAGAGAATGTCTCCCAGTAGTCGTGCCATGGGTTTGGGTGAAGCCCTTGGCACAATACCGGGCCTTGTAGACCGGCTCCTCACCCGGCAGCTGCTTCACTCGGAACACCCACAGGCCTTCAACAATGACGTCATCAGGAGAGGGGACAATGTTAACGAATGAGGCATTGCGGATGAAGGCCTCGCATTCAGCAAAGATAGCCTGGATCCACTTGGCAGCATTGGGGCAGGTGATGGCCTCAAGGAAGTTGGACGGAGTGAATCTGGTGGGAGCGGTAGCGATGCCAAGGATGAGGAGGCCAAGGAAGCCCGGGTAGAGAGGCGTGAGGGAAGGTGTTTGTTGCTGAACGCCAATGAGCTCCTCATGGGAGTCCTCAATGAAGGGAAGGGAGAGTGGGGGTGGTGTTGGCCAACCCCATGGATGGCCTATGAGTGGGCCGTGAGAGCGAGTGTGGATGCGTGGGAGGATGAACGGAGAGGTGGTGCGGCGATGCTGATGAGGTTGCTGCAGTGGCTGCTGCTGCTGCTGCTGCGGCTGCTGTTGCTGCACTGCCTGCGGTTGCTGCTGCTGCTGCTGCTCCATCCGCTGCTGCACCTCCTGCTGCTGCTGCTGCTGCTGCTGCTGCTGCTGCTGCTGCTGCTGCTGCTGCTGCTCCATCCGCTGCTGCTGCTGCACCTGCTGCTGCTGCTGTTGCTGCTGCTGCTGCTGCTGCTCCTTCTGCTGCTGCTGGTGCTGGTGCGATGAGGCAGAGTGAGCAGGGGAGTCAGGGACAGCTGGGTCGTAAATGTCACCTGAGGAAGGAGGAGGGGGAGGAGCAGGATTTGGAGGAAGGAGGGGAGCCTGGGGAAGGAGTGGGGGAATGACAGCATCAGCCCAGGTGAGGGGGCGGGAGAGAGGAGGAAGGGGGTTGGAAGGCGGAACAGAATGATAGAACGGGATGCTCTCATCGAACACCACGTCACGGCTCTGTAGGAGGCGGCCTGAGGACGGGTGAAGGAAGAGGTAACCAGGGGCAGAGCGAGCGTGGCCAAGGTAGACACACTCAATGGCCTTGGAGGCGAGCTTTCCTGCCTGCCGAGAGCGGTCAGGTGGGGGGATGAGGACATATGCCTTGCAACCCCAGATACGGAGAATGGCAGCATCTGGCTTGGTGCTAGCCCAGAGCTCAGTGGGAGTGACAGACTGGCGTTGAGGATGTGGGTAAAGATTAGTAAGGAGAGCAGCATGGACAAGGGCATAGCCCCAAAGAGAAGGGGGCGTGGAGGCATGAGTGAGGAGGCAGCGGGCCGTCTTGGTGATCTCACGAATGCGACTCTCAGCAACACCGTTCTGCTGAGGGGAGTGGGGAAGGGTATGAGTCTGCTGGATGCCATGGGTTGAGCAGTAGGAGGAGAGGGTGCGGTTGAGAAACTCACCACCGCCGTCGGAATGGAGGCGGCGGATGGGGCGACCAAAGTGGACTCGGCACTGCTCGGCCCAGGTAACGATGACAGCAGGGGCCTCGGCCTTCGTGTGGAGGAGGAACACCGAGGAGTACCTGCTGTGGTCGTCGACTAGGACAAGCATGTACCGGTGCCCTTGGCGGGAAGGGGAAGGGTTAGGGCCCCAGAGGTCCATGTGGACGAGGTCAAGGGGGGCAGCAGCAAAGGAAGGATGACTGAGGTGAGGCTGTTGTTTGAGCTTTCCATGAATGCATGTGGCGCATGGGGGAGCGGAAGAGGACGGGAGGGGAGGAAGAGTGGGGGGAAGACCGTTAAGCAAGCGGGAGGAGACGGCTTTACGAAGTGTGGGAAAGTTCATATGACCAAGGCGGTGGTGGATGAGAACAGCGGGGTGGGACAGTGCGCGACAAGAGCATGGGGAGGAGGTGGAGTTGGAGGAAGGTGGCTCTAGAGGGAGGGGAGGGGGGAGAGTGGAGGTGCCTGCACGAGTGGTCACGTGGCATGAGGAGGGGCGGGATGTGCGGAGGATGTATTGACGAGAGCGAGGGCAAAGTGGGAGGCGATGAAGGAGGCGGCGAGTGGGGCCGTGGAGGAGGTCACAGTAGGTGGCAGAGGCGGGGAAGAGGGTAGTGATGCCAGCCTGTTGGAGTTCACGAATGGAGAGCAGGTTATGACGAAGGGAGGGAATGTGGAGACCAGTGACCACTCCAGAGGGGAAGGGGGGGCAGGGGAGGGTGGAGAGATGAGTGCAAGGGATGGAGAAGCTGGAATCAGCACCATGAACGTTGGTGGGGAAAGGGAGAGAGGTGAGGGTGCCGGCGTCTTTGAGGGCAGTTTCAGTGGCACCACTATCGAGAACAAAGTCAATCGTGAGCGAGGAGGGAGCTGAAGACACGGGGTACTGGAAATCACTGGCATTAAAAACAGAGGGATACATGGAAGTGGAAGCAGGGGAAGAATGCATGAGCTCGCCTAGAAAGCTGGAGTGGGAGGCGGGAGCACTAGGGGAAGGAGAGCCCCAGAGGGGAAAGCCAGGAGGACCTGGTGTGGCTGTGGCAGCCATGGCGGCGGTGCCAAAGCCAAGCTGCTGCTGCTGCCATGCAGATGCTGCGGCTGCGGCTCCTGCAGCTGCGGCTCCTGCAGCTGCGGCTGCAGCCTGACCACCAGAGCCCCACTGCTGCTGCTGCTGCAGCAGCTGCAGCTGCTGGAAGCGGCGAAACTGCTGCAGCTCCTGGGGAGTTATGGGGTCAGCGACAGAGGAGGAGGAGGAGGAGGAGAGCTCAAGATGAGAGGGGAGGAAAGACGGAAGAGTTTTGACATCCTGGAGAGAGGGGCGGGGATCCATGGCAGACCAGCGTGGGGGTGTGCCAGTGTTGCCGCGCTCGAACCAGGTGTCATCATACGCCTTGAAGCAGGTCACGGGGGGATGGTTGGTTTGGGTGCAGCGCTCACCCGCCCTGGGACCAAAACGGCGAAGATAGGAACATGGGGGGAGAGTGCCAGGGCGGCCACCACGGCTACCAGATGAGCCACTACTGCCTCCACCACCACCACTGCTGCCACCCTCGACCCCGCCACCACCGCCGCCGGCTCCGCTGCCCCCACAATCGCCACCTCCACCCCCTCCCTGAGGGTTGGTGCGGCCGCCACGTGGGCGCCCGCCACGACGCGGCTGTGTGACTGCAAGCTGGGGGTTTTGGGACTCGGTGGAGTTCAGGCCGGAGGGGGGGGTTGAGAGAAGGCGGGCCTCAGCGTCAATGATCCATTGGACCACAGTGTCAAGGGAGGCGCGGGGCTGAGCCTCAGTGAAGGCGATGACGCGCACTTCATATTGAGGGGAGAGGCCTTCGAGGAGACGGTAGATCTGAAGGTTGGGGGGGAGAGTAGTCTGGCGAGCCTCAAGGCGGGAGGCAAGGTCCAGGAGACGGCTGGTGTAGTCAACGGCGCCAGCACTATGTTCGATCGTGATGCTGAAGTATTCCTTGAAGAGCGGTCCGACAGCATCGAAGTCGGTGCGTTCGAACATTGCCTCAAGCTCGAGCCAGATCTGGCGGGAGCCGATGCGACGTGCCTGGAAGTTGCGCATGAGCGCAGACGGTATGGCAAGGAGAAGGGCACCAGTAGCACGGCTGTCCGCCTCGAGCCAGGCGCGACGACGCTCAGCAAATCGCGCAGAGTCAGCGGCATAAGCGGCGGCGGTAGCGGCATGCTGGGTGCGGAGGGTTGCCGACCGCTCGTGTTCCTCCAACGCGATCAGGTAATCAGTATGGAGCACGAGGAACTCACGACGCTGAGTAAGGAAGAGCTGCTCAACTTCAGCGGTGGCAGCGCGAGTGCTGGTGCCAACGGGTACTATGGGGGGCGGAGGTTCCTCGCCGGGATGGGGAATGAGAGGGGGGGGATCGCCAGGGTGAGGCGGCGGGTCCCCAAGGTCACCCTCTGGGAGACCAAGCATGATGTCCAGGAGGCGGAACGGCAGGACATAAGCACTGCCGAGGACGCGGTGGAGGCTGCCGACGAAGGAATACCTGTTGGTTGCTGAGTTGTCGGCAGCGCGCACGAGATGATCGAGGGTCGAGACGTCGACGGGAGGGGGAAAGGATGCCATTGGTGACACGGAGTGGGAGGAAGGCGACGGCGGGTGGACCCGCGGTGGCCGGGAGGGAGCGGCGGCGGGTGGACCCGCGGCGGCTCAAAGAGGAGGGGAGGATGGGGATGGCTGTAGATACTGCTGCTGCTGCTGCACCTGCTGCTGCTGCTATTGCTGCTGCTCTGCTGCTGTTGCTGCTGCTGCTGCTGCTGCTCCTTCTGCTGCTGCTGCTGCTGCTGTTGCTGTTGCTGCTGCTGCCGCTGCTGCTGCTGCCACTGCTGCTGCTGCCGCTGTTGCTGCTGCTGCTGCTGCTGCTCCTTCAGCTGCTGCTGCTGCTGCTGTTGCTACTGCTGCTGCTGCTGCTGCTGTTGCTACTGCTGCTGCTGCTGCTGCTGAGTCTGCTGCTCCTTCTGGTGCTGCTGCTGCTTCTGCTGCTGCTGCTACGGCTGCAGCAGTGGTAAGGCGGCGATGAGCAGGTGCAGGTGAGGATGCAAAAGATGGGGAAAGATGGCAGTTAGCTGATGAAAATAGGACTTGGTAGAAATTCAGTAGCACTTCGTGATCACATCCAGGAAAGTGTGCAAACTTCGGAAAGCGATATCTGACAATCCAAGCAATGAAACAGTCCGAAATTTTACGACGTTGTAGCTGACACCAAGAGCGTTTTTTTGCAAGTCGAATCACTCAATTCTGTCAACTATCGAGCGAGCTATGGCGTTTGGCGCATTGGGGGTTTTTGAAAATCCACCCAACAGAAAACTAGTTGAGAGGCGGCGGCTAGGAGTCTAGCAGCGGCGATGGAGGGGACGGCAATGAGGTGCACGTCGGAAGGGGACGGGGCGGAAGCGTGGGGAAGGATCGGGATTTAAAAGTTGGCGTCAGCCATTATTGCTCTATACCATGTTAGAAACAGAAAGGTTCAGTTTATTGATGAAGCAAAGGCATTACATAGGAAGAGAGGGATGAGCTAGGAAGGGAAGGTTGGAAGGGAAAGGGGGGTTAGGACCAATCACAAGGGAGGGAGGATCCTTCCAAATGTGGTTGACCACCAGTTGGAGGTGGTCCAAGTGTGGTGTACCACCAATGGTTTAGCCAACCCACTTGTGGTGCCCCCACAATTGTGGTCCTTGTGTTTGGGGGCTCCAACCACAATTGGGTTGGATTGACACCCCAACACAGGTGTACACCCAACTAGGGATGTAACCACAATATACACAACTAGCATAGCATGGTATATTCTAACAACCTCCTCCTGCTCCGCCTTCCCCACGCGTCGAGCCCGGCTCACCAGTCTCCTATCGGAGGCGCCCAGTCCCTCCGGTCCCACCGCAGCCGCCTTCGTCTCCGGTCTCTACTCGCACTCGTTCCAAGGGACCGGCTCCGCCTCTCGCCTGGGGACCAACCGCCTTCTCCATCCGGTGTTCGGTCACCCCGCCTCCTCCTGCCGGGGGTGATGTCCCCTCCATCCGTATTCCCCCCCGTGCACTTCTGGAGGACAGGCATGAGGAGCTGTTTGGCCTTCACGCGGTCTGCCAATTTCTCTCTCACATCTTCCCGGACATTAGTGACTGCCCTTCCCTCAACTTCACCGAGAACCCGACCATTCCGACACCTCGCACAAAAGAGGAAGCTCTCTCGGGGCCTTATAAGAAGGAGTGGAAGGCAGCAATGAATGTGGAGAACGAGGCGTTCATTCGCAACAACAGCTTTGACGATGTTGTTCCCCCTTCCGGTGTCAACATCGTCAGCGGAAAATGGATCTTCCGAGTCAAACAACTCCCAGGCGAAGCTCCACTGTTCAAGGCACGATACGTGGCGAAGGGTTTCACCCAGAAGGAGTATCTCGACTTCTTCGAAACATTCTCGCACACGGCCAAGCTCCCGACTGTGCGCGCTCTTGTTGATATAGCCGCTCGCGGCAACTTCGAGATCAAGTCCATGGACGCCTCCTCCGCCTTTCTCCAAGGCCAGCTTAAGGAGGATGTTCACATGGAACGCCCACCGGGGTTTCCTGGCACTTACCCTGCCAACACAGTGTGGAAGCTGAAGCGCCCAGTATATGGCCTCAAGCAGATGTTGGTTAGAGAAGGCTATAAGCAGATGATTCAATGGCTCCTTGGAAATTTCTGCAGCACTTCGTTATGACGCCCAGAAAACTTGCGACCTTCGAAAAGCTATATCCAAAACTCCAATTGATGAAACAATCTGAAAATCGCATATTTTGTAGCTTGCAGCGTCAGCTTTTCAATGAAAGTTGAATCACTCGATTCCGTAGCTTAACGAGTGACCTATGGCGTTTGGCGCACTGGGGGGTAATCTGCCCTAGGAGAAATTGACAGTCCTCAGAGTCACTATAATTGAAGCTTACAAGTTCAGAGGCATGATGGAAAAGACATTGAAGCATAGTTGAAAGGTGGGTTAGGAAGGAAAGGATGAAAGGGAAGGACCCTGGAGGCCCTTGGTCAAGAATATGACAAGAGTCAAAGTCTTGACTCCCCATCCTCAGGTTCAACCAGCCTGGCAAGACAAAATTCACACTGTGCCAGGTTGGCCTCCAAACCCCAAATGCTGCAGCTGGAAGGTGAGGACAAAAGTCCCACACATGCTGGTCCCTCCTCGTTATAGGGCTCTCCAACTTTGGTGTAGCAGCTGCCAAGGACTTCCAATGAGTTGTAACAAATCCATCAAACATTTCTTCGTAACTTCTTCATATGTGCTCCGATTCCAACAATTCTTGGCTCGTTGGAATGTGCTCGATGTCATACACAATCCAGGCACATCTGCACAAGAACAAGATGAACATGCAAAGACATGCAAACCCAACAAACCATACAAACAATGTAGCACACAAAACACATGCAACGAAATGATGCGAACAGACGACAGGATGACGTGCAAACGAATATGCACCAACACACTCCCCCTCAGACTGTCGGCTTGTTTCGCCGTCTCTAGTTCAAGGACATTCCCGCCATCCTCACACAGCGCCAGTGTGGCTCTTCAGCTAGCCGCTTGGTAAGGAAGTCGGCTGGCTGTTGCTGAGTTTTCACGTAGATCGGATCCAATGTCCCAAGCTTCACCTCCTTCCGCAGCCAATGCCACTTGATCCTCATGTGCTTGTTCAACCCATGAAGAACTGCATTGCGTGCCATGGCAATGGCTCCCTTGCTGTCACTGAACAGAGATGTCGCACAAGTCTGTTCATGGTCGATCTCCTTCAAGAGCCTCCTTAGCCAAATCATTTCTTTTGCCGCATGAAACATCGCCATGTACTCAGATTCCACTAAAGATAGTGCTGTCTCAGACTGCTTCTTGGACCTCCAACTTACACGCCCACACACCACAGTGCAGATGCTCCAAGCTTTGTCCTGTGCGGTTTAGGGACATGCGCCACTGCCATGCATCCGAACACTCTAAGCATGTCCACAGGAGGCTTCTTTCCAAGCCACCTTTCCAGCGGCACCCACATATCATCAGCCACCTTTGTGAGTACGCGGTTCCTTGCCACTGTAGCATGCCTCACCGCATGAGGCCACATGGAGTTCCCCAGCCCTGATTCGATCAGCAGCGCTCGCGCAGTTTCCAGGATGGTCCTATTAGCCCTCTCAGCAACGCCATTTGACTGAGGGGTATAGGACGTCGTTAGCTGATGCTCAATGCCTTGTTTCTTGAGCCACGCAGTCAGATCTCCTCCTAGAAACTCTCCACCTCGGTCGGTTCTGATGCTCTTGCATGGGTGCCCAGATTGTCGCTCGACGAACGGCAGCCAGTCATCTCGTATTGTTGAGGCAGCATGATCCTTCTGCTTCAACGGGTATGCCCACATCAGCTGACTCCAGTCATCAACTATTGTTAGGAAGTATCTTTCCCCCTTTCTTCCCTGAACTGGAAAAGGTCCTACCAGGTCCATGTGCACCAGTTCCAGTGCTGCCTTGCTTTTCCCAGCTACGCCGTGAAAGGGGAACCGTGTGAACTTGCTCAGCAGACACGTCTCGCACTTGGTATCATTTGGTTGCCCAGAAAGCTTCAGCCCCTTTACTGCTTCTTCCTTATGCAGTTGCTGCAGCAATGGCATAGCCACATGCCCTAGACGCCTGTGTGCGGTTTCCCAATCAGTCTCCCCCAACCTTGCAGAAACCATCACTCCTGCAGCACTACCTGCATTGCACTCCCCCTGGACTCCACATCCCGCCTTTACTACTCCCAGCTCCTTCTTTGTTGATTCCCATATCAGTGCAGGGATGTGCCACATGGATCTGAAGACATCTCTGCTTTCGTGTAAATCCCATAACACACGATCTCCTCGCAGCCCCTTGAATGTTTTGGATCCGTTGGTGGTGGTGCTGACTCCGGCCTGGCCTAGCTTGCGCAGCGATATCAGATTGGCCTTCAGCCCTGGTACAAGTAACACGTCCTTCAGCACAACCAGTCCACCATCAGGTGCTCTGAATGCAGCTCGACCAACTCCAGCGACCTTCACTGCATGTCCGGATGCTGAGCGCACTTCAGAGATTGGAGGCGCTCACACAGCATCCAGCAAGTCCTTGCGTGGTGTCATTGTCAATGCAGCACCAGAGTCCATAACCCACATGTCAAGCGGGTGCAATTCCTCTCCAGCCCTTGCAACAGCTGTGCCACTGTCATCTTTGTCACACACATGTTAGAACTGTCCAGCATTCCTCTCCTCATTTCCCATTCCTCTGTCATCCTTGGAGGTTTCTTCAGCAGGATCAGCTACCATGTTGGCACCTCCATGTGGTTGCTTTCCTCCATTCCCCTTTTGCGATTGGTTCCAAGGGGTCCACCAGTCGGGCTTGGTAGAGCAGCGAAACCAGGGATGCCCTTCTTCCTTGCAATACCAGCACTCTCCCCTCAAGCGTGGTTCACTGTTGTCATTGTTGGAGTGACCACCTCTTCCTCTTGCACCAGAGCCCCCACGCCCCCGCTGGTTCCAAGTCCCGCGACCACCTTGGCTGTAGTGAGAGCGACCGCGATTGCCACGCCCTCGATCCCTCCATGTCCCTTGCATGGCATAGCCGCTGGAGCTGTCATCACCTCCGCGCAGTGTATAGCGACGAAAATCTTCTTCCAGAATCTTGGTGCGAATCCACTCCAATGTCCATTGACTTTGGTTTTGTGGCAAGCTGAGTCCGCTTATAAATTGCAGCCAAGACTCGGGCAGCAGGCTGAGCATCTTGAGACACTTGGTCTGCTCAGGGTACGTGATGCCAGCAATCGCCAATTTCGCGTAGAGTTCCCTCATCTTGTCCAGTACGGGCTGCACAGGTTCATTCTCGCTCAACCTCAGCATGGACAGCTCCCGATCCCGATCCAGCATGCCAGCAATCTCGCGGCAACCGATGTCGGAGCATGCAGGTCCTTGAGCACTGCCCATGCCTTGGGCCTACAATCAGTTTCCGGTAGCAGATGCATGATGTGATGCCTCTGGTTCAGCTCCAAGCTTTGTGACAGTAGATAATACCCAGCAGATGAACGTTCATCCCAGTCCGCTTGCTCTGCCATTTCCTTTGGCCTGGGCTCCGTTCCAATCATGAGCTTCAAGAGGCCAACTTGTCGAAAGTAGAGCTGCATCTTCCATGCCCAATCGTCATAGCCGTCTCG